GATTTCCAACAATGACTGCCATAAAACATGTTACATTGAGCGACTAGTGATCCGTGAATTGGCATAATTTGTACGGGGATCCATTGACGCGTGGTGGAAAATAGATGAGCATCCCGCATATACTGCATCCCCGCATAAAATTATCTGAGCATTAGGGGGGTGGGACATTTGTCATACGGGAGGGGGCGGAGGCTCCGGACAGACTCGGGGCTGCAGACGAGACCGCAAAAACAAGATGTAGCTGCAGGGGGTTTGTTACGAAACATAGCTAAACGATAGAACCTTTAAATTTATCGTTTTGTTTTAGTTAACTACTATTTTAATTGTCATTCATCTATTACACAATAATCTAAGGAATTTTTTGTAATTTTATGGATGATACTTTTAAAATTACAGTAATATAATTACAGTATTACTATCTATTGAAATCTGTTTCGACTTTAACCCAAGTCAATAACCAATTCATCTATTAGATACCACGGTATAATTTCACGCTTCCCAAAACCCCGTATATAAAAGGGTCAAGCGCGTCACGTCCCTCCACAAAAAGCTCCAACTATGTTCAATATTAAAACCGAACCTCACTTTTTGCAATGACACGAGCCCTTTCAACATAGAAGCTATATAAAACCTATATATTATATATTAAATAAACGTATATATGTTTAAATTTAATTCCAATGTTCCAAGTAAACCTCAAAAGTCAAGCACATTTGTTACTCACTGAAACCTTACCTAAAAACAGATACAGTTAAACTTCTACCCTAAAGTTGTTAAGTAAGATCTACATTCTAACAAAGGGTTGTCAAACGAATTAAAAAGTTTATAGTAACATTATTATCTCGACAAAAAATATATATTTAAAATATCAACCTTTTTATTTCAATTTTGATTACTTAAAAATTGATTTAATTAACGAAAATTTTGTTAGTGTAAAAACGTTATAAAAGATCAGATGTTAGTTTTATTAAATTAAAATCTTATTACAATAAGATTAATCTTAATTATATTAACTCAAAAAACGTTATTATACATCATATAATATAATATGAGTTTCAACCCTACAAGCTCATAGAATCATTAGCGGCGTTCGGTCGTTTGTCGGAGCCAGTCGCGCCCGAGACGCGTTTTTGTCTCCGCGCCAAATTGCATCCGCACAATACGTGACTGCAAATTGATTCCGAATTCATTACACACTAATCGATGCTGGACAACTCGATATCTATGTGTGTATAATAAAAAAAGACTCAAAAACTATAGGGACTGAAACTAATATTATTCGGATTTTTCGACTTTATTTTTGTAAAAAACTACATACTACCGACGTTTCGGTAACTTTTCAGCAACTGCGGCAGACAAAGGACTTCATAATAAAAGCTTATTACATAGTAGTATACTTTGGCCACTCGACGTCACAAGTCTCCATATATTTGGCAAAATAAAAGTAATAGACACAATATTGTTTCTTTTGGAATCACGATGAAGAAACATGTGTTATTTGAAAGACATTTTTTTATTGGTTTCAGATGACAATGCACGTTCGGTACAGTACTATTATAATGTAAAATAGTCGAAATCATTGACTAATAATTTAATTCTAATTCAATCATTCGATGAATTTATCACTTTTATTGTTATTGTGATAATAAATGTTTACTGTTTAAAAAGTTAAAAATCATTTCGGAGTAGTTGAATTTATAGAACCGGTCAAATCTATCAGTTTAGACTGGGGAAAGTTTGACAGAGAAACAGCAAGATTTGTATATACGATTCATCTCTATATCTTACCAATTCAAAGCTCAATAGAACTAGCATTTAATCTGATGCTGGTCAATCCCTTCAATTTCATTGCTAACCCATGACAACGCTAGATGACATATTTTACAAAAAAAAATGTTCCTTTCACAAAATTTGTCACGATTGGTATATTAGGACCTCTGTAGTCCTTTCCGAGAAAATAACATGCTTGACATTTGAACCGTTCTATAATGTTTAAAAATAATTTTAAGATTTTGTTTTTTCTCTAACTTAAAATTATTTGTAAATAAAATAAAAAAAATTAAAGTTTTTCATAGTAATATATAATGTATAATATTGTATTCGATTTCTATAATGTAAAAGACTTATAAAAGTAATCTCTCTGCAATATTGTCTCACAGATTAAATAACCTAGAGGGAAAATACAACTAGCAAAAATTACGCGCGAAAATATATCGTTCAGAAATAAATAAACTTAATATGACTAAAATATTTTTTTTTTCAATAAACAACGCTTCTGATTTAATAATATAAATGTAAGTTTCATTAGTAAAAAGTAGTTTTTCAGTCAAGATGAATACAGATAAAAAAATAATGCAATATTTTTGAACTGAAAATCATTGAAAATATAATTTTAAATTATTACACTGAATATGATTACCTAAATAAAAAACTTAATCTATGTGGGTTTATCATGTTCTAGAAGACATTTTTTTATAACCTGTGATTGATTCTCTCAAAATAATGAATATTTTTTCTAAATATTCTTCAAGTTATATATGGAATACAGATAAAAACTTATTTGTATAATCTGTGAATATAAAAATAAAGCCATGTGTATAATATGTACGTAAATAAATTCGAGTAATTGAAATGCAGTTTATTAATACTATTTAATTACCATGAAGCCATGTGAGAACTCGGGTTTATTTCAGTTTTTGCGAACATAAATATCGCTTTCAATAACTGACTTATTTACCACCTTAAGTCTTAACCGCTGTGACATTTAAAAATATCGTAAATTTTATCCAAGTTTACATATGAATGCAACTTATGCATATACAAAATTATGCGTTTCCTTTTAAGTTTATCGCAAATATAAGATAAAAAGTATTCAAAATTCTACAACTTTTTCTTATTAAATCGTTTCACTGTATACGTAAAACTTAAATTTTAATGTCAAAAATTTTATATAAAAAAATACGTAATCTATATGACAGAATATATACTATAGAAATTTCTAGAATTCGCTATAATCTTGTATTACGTAAATATATTACGGTTTTTGATAAAATCCTCTATGCTATCCTAATTAACCGTAAAGGCGGTCTTAGTTCGGTTTTCTTAGCAGTACCCAGTCACTATTAATCGCTAAGACGTCAAACGGAATAACAGATGAGGGAGGAGCATTATTCAAATAAAGCCGTTATTGTGGCCGGAGTCCTAATCGTCCGGCTCTCATTAACGGAAGCCACCCGGATATACGATAGGACGAATGTTTTTTTACGTCTCCTTGTACATATTATTAAAATAGTCTTGAGAAATTTAAATTCGTATTACTATAAAAAAAACGTACTTCCATAACTTCACGAAATTTCACTATTCGAAATTTAAATCGGTTTAAAAATGAATGGTTAATTTATTTAAAATTATTTGATAAACCAAGAAATTAGTAAAATAAATGTTTATGGAATATATAAGTGAATGAAAATAAAGTCGTGTTACACTATTTATAACTCAAGAACGGCTGTAAGATTTATCTGAAAATTGGTGCGGATGTAGCTTGGATTCAAGAGATATAGAGATAGGATACTTATTATCCCGTTTAATTGAAAAAAATATCTTAATAAAATCCAAAATCTGCTTCTCTAAGACGAAACATAATTCGTTCGGTTAAGGAAACGTATGTAATTCTGAAACTGATACCGAAGAAGTACGCGGACAAAAACTAGTATTTCATTAAAAGTTTTACCAATGTCGATCATCACCAATCATTTTGTTTTAATCAGGTTTGTATTAGCAATACGCAAATTATACCCACTTATCACTTACCAATGATCGCAGTTTTTAACCTAAGAGATTTTTTTAATTCAAAACCTCATTCATCTATATAAAAATGAATTGCTGTTCGTTAGTCTCGCTAAAACTCGAGAACGGCTGAAAGGATTTATCTTATCATAGTCTTGAAATGTTGGTGGAGGTTCAGGGAAGGTTTATAAGCTGAAAAAAATTGATTCATTTCTGGGAAAACCCTACAAACAGCGATTTCTAATTCCCATACAAACGCTTTTTTTTCAATAGATTTGACAACTAACTATGTACTATGTCAATCATTCTGTTCGATTGAAACAGGAAAAATTTAATTAATACCAACACCTGGTTATTTAAGACGGAATAGAGTTCGCCCGTTCAGCTATACATATATTACTAATGACGAAATTAACGCGAACTAAGTCGCGGGCAAAAACTAGTATATACCTATATTTTGATACACACCAAGACTTATATACATTCTCTTTTGTAACACGTAAGTTAGCATCGTCAATCTAAACTGACAGTTACAAGGTTTTTTCATTTTACACATTACATATGATAGCAACATCTTCATTAAGAACTATTGATTAGCTCAAATTAAGAAAAAAAAACCGATAGAAATACCTAAAACCGTTATGAATACCGATAATTAACATCGAAAAATTATACATTGTAATCACTTTGATAAAAAAAATTGTAAGAGTAAATTAGTTTATAAAGCAATTTCAAATGTATCTTAATTTACATCCCCCGACAAGATAATTACTGCTTTGGCAAATGTATAAATTATATATATTATATATATGTACTTAATTATAAATATGCACAAAAGTTACCTTAATATTGTATAATAATCAAATTTATTATCACTGTTTGAACAAATCTAATGAGATTCATTTTTAAAATATACACATGTATATATATACTATTCCTTATATATTTCATTCATAATTTTACATAGCTAATAATAATTATTTTTTTGTTTGTTTTTAAATTTAATATCACTTGTTTTTAAGTTTAATATAACAAAATTATAAATTGATATTTGAAAAATAGTTACAAAATAAAATTAAAAACATGATCATTATTAACTTGAATATATTAAAAAGGAGATTACATTTTATTTGAATTTTATCAAATTTTTAAAACACTTTGTTTGAGAAGGTAAATAAAAATTATATTTATTAAAGTAATGTTTTAAAACTTACCTTACAAATAATTGTTCTTGATTATTAACCCGCCATGATACCACTGTAGCACCTACAAATAAAATATATTTTAATTGTATTGTAAATCAATTACTTATTTTTTGTAGAAATATTTAAGATTCCCTCATATTAAGTAAAATAGTTAGAAAGACTTTAATAAGATATTATATATGGTGGAAAATTTTAAATATGTATGAAAATATTGAACTTTGTAAATTTACTATAGATTTAGATATTAATGAAGTGACTTGTATTGGGAGTTATAAAAAATAAAATACAGTAGTTGCTTATGTTCTTGAATCAGTGTTCATATAAATTACTTCCTAATTATTTATTTATGTTGCTATACAACCTATTTTTTGTGAGTACATCAAATAACCACTTACAATTTAGAAGCAAGTATACGATTTACTTCCTACAATCCAATAGCCAAGGTCAAATAGATACAGACAACTTCTTAGTCTATTCATTGAAAAAAAAAACTCGTTACCTCTTATTAAACTGGTATGAATATAACAATTTTTACATTAGATTATATAATATGACTCGTCTTATTGTCATATGAATAATATTAAATATAAACTTCATTTATTTACAAGCAGTTTAAAACTTCCGCGCATTACTTTAAAAATAAATAACAAAAACTTTTACAGGTTATGCGGCTTCTTGGCTTAACTCTTGATTTTACAATCAAATCCTTTATAAAAAGAAATAAGGAGTGAACATTATAATTATTTATGAAATATCTTAATACTTACCGAAAAGATTTACGGTACAAGTTGTATTGTTGCCTCTGTCCAGAACGACAACACTCGTCGCTGCCATTTTCCGATTGACAGCAAGCCAACTGCCAAACAAAGCTATGCTCAAATGAGACCCTAACATGATGACATCTTAGTGTTGTCCATTACGGAGGTATTATGACGATTTTAGTTATTTTTAACTATATATAATGCATTATCTTTCTTTATCAAAAAAAATAAATAAATATGTACTTTCCTTTTCATAAATCTTTGTGAGTATGTAATCTACATTATAAAAAAGTTACCGGTTAACATATTCATAATAAAATGAACGCATCCATTATTAACCAATAGAAAACGGCCAACGCTGTGCCGGTAATGTCATTCGCTGCATCATACGTGTATTTTTGCGGTCCTTGTCCTTTACGAGTTAGCTTCTCATTGTACTTCGGCGCCGGGGTTTAACGCACGGAGATTATATCTGTGAAGTTTAAAAATGTTAGGATCAATAAAAATCTTTTTATTATTAGGAGTTATTTATTTATGTAGAGCAAGCGAAGAAGATGTTTTAGAGCTTACAGATTCCGATTTTGAAAGTGCGATCGGTCAACATGAAACCGCTTTGGTCATGTTTTACGCACCTTGGTATGTATAAAGTTGAATAACCTCGTTAACTATAGTATGTATGCGTTACTTGAGTTTCCTTAATAAATTGTAGGTGTGGACATTGTAAAAGATTGAAACCGGAATATGCGGTTGCTGCCGGCATTCTCAAGGATGACGATCCGCCGGTAGCGTTGGCTAAAGTAGACTGTACGGAGGCTGGAAAGAGCACTTGTGAGAAGTTCTCCGTCTCAGGATACCCAACTCTTAAAATCTTCAGAAAAGGGGAATTGTCACAGGAGTACAATGGTCCCAGGGAATCAAGTAAGTAAAAAACATGCTAAGGAATTATTGCACGAATATATTAACGATATATAAGTAGGTTAATGAAAGAACTTTTTTATTCTATTTTTTATTGAATAACTTCCATTGTGAGGGTAAATTGTGAAATGACTTGTTAACTCGTCAATAATACGTAAACTAGCTTTGATACATGACTATTATATTTAACTAAAATTAATTTTCCTAGATGGCATCGTGAAGTACATGAGAGCTCAAGTTGGACCCAGTTCCAAGGAATTGACCAACGTTGAGAGCTTCGAGAACATGATCTCTAAAGACGAGGTGGTTGTTATCGGTTTCTTTGAAAAAGAGGATGACCTTAAGGGAGAATTCTTGAAAACCGCTGACAAAATGAGGGAAGAAGTTTCCTTTGCTCACTCTTCGGCCAAGGATGTCCTCGAAAAATCTGGATACAAGTGAGTCACTTAAAATAGTAGCCAAATAATCATAAGTTCATAGAATGTTACCAATGTCAAGACCACAAAACACCTATATACACATGTCATTGGTAATTAACAAATTATCATTAAGTTTTAAGTCAACACAGATGTAGATTTAGTCTGTGTCAACATTAATTTTGTTAACTATTTAACTAACATAATGAATGTTTAAAACTAAACAAAATCTAAAAAAATATATTTGGACAACCTGTAACCTGTTTATTGCATTCCAATTCAATAAGTTCAAAAATAATATCATTCCTATTTCAAACAGTTTTTAATTCAAAGGAGGTGATATTTTACAAAATTTTGATAAATATCAATAATTTTATTATCTGTGCTATTTATATATAGATCTCTATCAATTAATGGAAAATTGATTACACATTTATGACATTTTAAATTCAACAATTGTTTTAAAATATATCTACTAGTTTTAACTACTATATAATGGTTGGAAAACTTCAATTATATAAATGTTATGTTTATGAAAACGTTATTGTAACTGCCGGCATATTGTTACGGATGTAACGCGTTATGCATGAAATTATTACAATTTTCCGCCCGTTTTATTGTATCCACTTTTTTTTTTATTTCGAAAACAATACACGCGAATATAATTTCAGTTCTATGTGCGATAATACACACGAAGTTATAATTTATTACTGATCAATTTAATAAAAAAAATATAGACATTTTTTAACACTGCTTATATTTACATTAATTTTCAAACAAACTATGCTTAAAATTTTCCTAACGAAAATGTTAATACTAACTTTTTTTCTATCTCATTAAAACTCCTTAATTGACTAATACACTTCTTAAGCAGAAAATTTTTATTGAAAAAAAACTTTAATCTTAAACCACAGATTATAAAACAACAGTAGATATGCTCATAGGTTATAAAATACATGCCAACCTCTATGTATAAAATTAAAAAACTAATCTAAACTGTATACAATGCTACACAGGGTGACTGGTGAATTACTATCGATACTTGAGGACGTGATATTTGACGATCATATATGACAAAATAAAAATTAATATAACATAAATATTAATAAACTTCTAAGTAAAGTTAACCAAAAGTTATGTAATTAATTACGCATCGTATGAACACCCTACAGATTAGGTATACACACACACACGCGCGCGCGTGCGGCGGCGTAGTGTTGTATCAGCACGCTGCCGCACGCGTCCACACTTGGAACGTGTCCACGGTTTATTTATTTATACGGAAATTTGGTCAAAAATTAAGTACCTATTTTTTTTACATAATTCGAATGAGAATCATGTACCGAGTATTCTCCTTAAATATTGATAGTAATTCACCAGTCACCCTGTATATATATTTATTGAAACCTACAATTAATCATATATTTTTTGTCTAACAGGAACAATGTAGTGCTGTACCGTCCCAAGCGTTTACAGAACAAGTTTGAAGACTCATTTGTTGTGTACAAGAGTGGAGTCTCACTTAAAGGATTCATCAAAGAAAACTAGTAAGTTTTACAATATAAGAATACTTTGCAGAGTTATAGAGTACTAGAACATTCTAATTTAAAAAAAATATTACAGTAGGATTTCTCATTATTATTATTTATATAAGCAGTTATAAATTTTTATATACAATTTGTTTTCTAGCCATGGTCTGGTCGGTATTCGTCAGAAGGACAACATGAATGACTTCAGCAATCCTCTTGTTGTTGCCTACTATGATGTGGATTACGTCAAGAATCCCAAGGGTACGAACTACTGGAGGAACCGTGTTCTTAAGGTAAGCATACACACACATACACATACATACATCCACACACATACATGTATAGATGTATGTGAAGTTGCCTATGATGTCATTTTGCTCTAAATCAAAAGATGACAAACAATTTTAGTTCTCAAGTAAAACTCTTGACTCTACCTAATTAAAATTACTAACTAACTCAAAATTATGCCCAGAATTTATACATAAATTTCAATCACGTTTCTGGAATGGTCATACTCCTTATCATTTTGGGGACCGTTATCACAAAAATTTACTAACGTAACATTGTTTCCACTCCAGTAGCATAACTCTGATAAATGTTTGCAGCAAGTAATAAAACTGGTTAATGAGTTGATAATTCACACACATTTTGATGTATATTCAATATTATGACTTCTGATTTTGTATTTTTAGTTAAAAAACTCAATACGTACGTGTGTGTGTGCGCCTGCGCATGTTGTATATTTATAGAAAATGGGAATATAATCGTAAATATATTAATAATAAGGTTTTTAATGTAATATTTTATTCAGGTGGCCAAAGAAATGAAGGACGTTAACTTCGCGGTCAGCGATAAGGATGACTTCACACACGAACTGAACGACTTCGGCATCGACTTCGCCAAAGGTGACAAACCCGTAGTAGGAGGCAAGGATGCTGATGGAAACAAATTCGTCATGTCTTCCGAATTCAGGTAAAATTATCCATATGAATAATAATTTAAATGAAACTAATATTTTTCGGATGCACTACGCGTCTTTACTTTTGTAAAAAACTAAATACTCCCGACGTTTCAGCTACTTTTCAGGAACCGTGATCACGAGCAAACGAGATGTCTAAGAGATCACGGTTGCTGAAAAGTACATCCAAAAAATATTAATTTCATTTAAATGAATAGACTCGCGAAAATCTTAGATCTCATAATATGAATAATAATTTGTTAGAACTAAAATAACTTGTCTATGAAACAAAATATTTAAATAACAAACATTTTTTTCTTTTATCATAACACATAAATAGCTGTAATGCTCCACTTGCGTTTATTGCTTTGACTAATGTGCATTTTAATTATTGTTTTATAGTTTTGTTGCAAAATTCATGCAACAAGAAATTTACTATCTGAAATAATATACATTTTTCAATATGCTAATATTTTATGGTCAATAGAAATTTTAATTAATTTTAAATTATTATTTAAATTTTCAGTATTGATAACCTTTTGGCCTTCGCTAAGGATCTGTTGGATGGTAAATTGGAGCCGTTCATTAAGTCCGAGCCAGTCCCTGAGAGTAATGATGGACCAGTCAAAGTAGCTGTTGGCAAGAACTTCAAAGAGTTAGTTACAGACAGTGGTAGGGATGCTCTAGTCGAATTCTACGCCCCCTGGTGCGGACATTGCCAAAAACTCGCACCCGTTTGGGAAGAACTTGGTGAAAAGGTATAGATATAACATATACAGGGTGACTGGTGAATTACTATCGATACTTGAGGACGTGATATTTGACGATCATATATGACAAAATAAAAATTAATATAACATAAATATTAATAAACTTCTAAGTAAAGTTAACCAAAAGTTGTGTAATTAATTACGCATCGTATGAACACCCTACAGATTAGGTATTAGGTACACACACACATACGCGCGCGGCGGCGTGTTGTTGTATCAGCACGCCTCCGCACGCGTTCACACTTGGAACACTTGGAACGTGTACACACTTTATTTATTTATACGGAAATTTGGTCAAAAATTAAGTACCTATTTTTTTTACATAATTCGAATGAGAATCATGTACCGAGTATGCTCCTTAAATATTGATAGTAATTCACCAGTCACCCTGTATAATTATTGTCAATACTTTTTTAAGCGGCAAAAACCTATAATATAATCTTTTCATCAGCTCAAAGACGAAGAGGTTGATATTGTGAAGATCGACGCCACAGCCAACGACTGGCCCAAGTCATTGTACGATGTTTCTGGTTTCCCGACTATCTACTGGAAACCAAAGGACAATAGCAAGAAGCCTGTCAGATATAATGTAAGATATATATATACGTATAATATATATTTGTATGTATGACGTCACTAATACATAATATGTAGTATTGAAAGTGAGAAGTAGTAGATTAATGTGATATATATTCAATGTTAGTAGGTATATTACAGATTTATTCCTTTTATCAGTTACTGACAGGGATTACAAGGAATATTGTTTTGAATTTCGAACAAAAGTTTTGTTAATTGTTTTACTTTATATATATAACCTTTTTGTTTATATTTACAGGGTGGTCGAGCCCTCGAGGACTTCGTGAAGTATGTCTCTGACAACGCTTCCAACGAGCTGAAGGGCTTCGATAGGAAAGGGAATGCCAAGAAAGACGAGTTGTAGACGTAGTAGATCAAACTTTCCAGATCTGTGTGTGAGTGGGCGAATGTGTAGTGTGCAACCGATATTCACTTACCTTACAATATAGTTGGGAAAATATATCACAAGTTTGGATTGTCAAACTACATAATTGTTTTCAGTTTTTTTAACTCATACTTCAACTAACATTAATACTATCTTATATGAAAAAAAACTGAAAATGCCCTATGTACTGTATCAATACAAACTTTTGGTGAAAGTACTATAGAACATATCCGCAAAGTTCTTATGCATAATAAGCTACTTTGTATCGAGAATGGTGTAATTGTTTGTGGTTTTGTCAATGAATGTGGGAAGGGTGAATGAACGATGATATATGTAAGACAACTAGTATACCTTCATAGATAAAACCCTCACAGTGATCGAAATACAGTAACATTAATGCATTTCTTATCTGTCAGTGAAATAAATATAATTAAGAAATATTTATACAATATGACTTTTATTTAACATCTAATATTCTATTGATTAAAAAAGATGGAGTGTGTCATTGGTTTAGTAAATCTGCTCAAATACATAGTCTGGTATTTGTCCTTTTTTATATGTATTTTTTTTAATAATCATAACATGAAAATATTAAGACCGCCTTTTGTTTTAACTGATTTTATATTTAAAATTTTCTATATATTGATGGATACAAAAATAGAATTAAAATTCTATAGTTCTCACTTAATGATAAGAGTACAACAATGTCAGCTATGTATGAAACTTACATAATGAAAAATATATTTTAAAACTTAATTAGAAAAAGTGACCTCTATGATACTCTCATTTTATTAAATTTCTCTAAAGTGTAAGCATTAAAAAAAAAATTCTCGCTAACCAAAACTCTTGTGTGAAGTCCAACGCTATGCTGTATCTGAATGAAAGTCAAATCTCTTCGAAAATCTTTACATATACGTATTAAATTCAGTCACAACGGGCAAAGTAGTGATGGCACACTATAAAGTAAAAAAATTTGCATCTTGAGACAAAATGTTATATTCAAACACTCGATTTAACCTACTCTGGGTAATAAATATACAATGTAGAGTCGTGGTATACATTACATTAGAGTTTTGTCTTTTGGAATAGGTACTTACCTTTGATAATACCACACCTTGCACGTCTGCGTAGATATTTTATAAGAGTAATTTAATATTTAACTCTCCGTCAACAAGTATATCTATATTACCACTACGACCTCTAATTCTTAACATGGTAATGTTTGTGTTAATTTATTAAAATCAGCCTTGTTGTGTCACGTCATGAATCTATAACAAGATATAATAATATGAATAGGGAATGTAGCTGAAGCTACTTAACAGTTAACTTTAACTTGTAAATCAGACGAATGACGTCAGATACCGTCACTATGGAAAAGTCCCATAAAGGATAAATTTGCGGAATGATGGAATTGCAGCGTTACACTTTAGTAACACAAACACTTACTGTTTTGTATTATATAAATTTTTTATTTTAAACATCCATAAGAATTTTCAGAATTCATTGAAATTAATCTACATACATCTATATTTAATTAAAGTTATTCAAAACAATTCTTACCGAGCTTGCTAAAATACCATTAAGAGTAAAACCACATACATGTGTGAGTGAAAAACTTTGGTATTTCTTTAAAGACCGACGAATTCTCTATGTGTATACGTTATTTCGCTACCTCCTATTTCATTTGCATACTTATGTAGTATGTGAAGTCGTGATGGCCTGTAGATTAAAGGTCCGCTTCTCACGCATCAGAGCGCGGGGTCGAAACCTGGCAGGTGCCAATCTGATCTTTTGCGAATCATATCTACTTTCTGAGACTTTTTAGACATTACTGACAGACGGAAAACATCGTAAGGAAACCTGGACTTATAATTTCACAATTATGTATATTGAAATCGCTGGAGAAAATTACTGTCTATCTCTTTCCGAGTTTTAACACTATCCTCCGATGCCGTAACCATTAGAATAAGGCGTTTTCCGATTTTATTAAGCAAATAATGAGATATATTTAGGAAATCATTTCTTAATAGAACAAAGTGAGTTGGTGTTTTTGGAACCGGGATATCGCTTTTGAACATTTTATGTAGAAGTGAGAACAGGACTAATAGCCTAGGAACCTGCCTTTATGTGGGGTGATGTCCTCCAGTAGATAACAGAAAGCGCCGTTCGATAAGTAGGTTCGTAAAATGATATGTTATGATAGGCACAGGCCTATATGACATCTTTTGTTCAAAAAGTTTGTAAACCAAACCCATATGTCAGTCTTTGTCAAACACTTCCGCAATATTCAAGAAGATTACACCCGTCATAAGATGCTCATAAATAGTGTTTTGTTCACACAGTATTTAAAATTAACTTATGATTTGTTGTATTAAAATAAAAAGTTTGACATTAGTAGGTATAATATTCACCAAATTCAATTTGAATGAAGCATTTGCTTACATGAATCATCTATATTTTTTTTATAAATGAGCGAAGAATTGAACAAAATAATATATAGTCGAACGTCACTTTATACTTTTGTACTCTCTGATTTATACCTAACGACGATTACCAGGAAGGAAGACAATAGCGAATTGCAGTGATCTTAATTGATCAATTGTTGTGATGACGAAAATACGCCGACTTGATAGGTAGTGCTGATTCGTTTGCAACTGAATCCTAGTACAAAATACAATAATACCTTGCAATTTAGACTCTATCTATTGTTTTATGGAATTTAATATTGTTGATATTAAAAAAATACGGCTTGATAAAAATTTATATAGACTTGCATTTTCTCAATATAAATATTATACTTGTTTTATCTTTATAATCTACAAACACCTAAGAGTTTCCAAGAGACATATCCTGGGAAAATCCCATGATGACGTCGTAATATCACTCCCAAAAGACAATGATGCCCCAGAGCTAGAGTCACGACTTCAATTCCATACACAATTTATGATCGGAGCGGAAAATAATAGAGTAGGTTTAGGATCAAATAAAAAAAGTCCAAGTTGCGGATATATTGAAGTCTTTTATTCGGCAACACGAGAACGATAAATACAAGATCCATGCAATGAGTTTAGAAATTCAGAACGATTGGTTAGACATAGGAGATTTTTGCATTCCACTAGCACTAAAATGGCGCACCCTAATTCATGACTGGTCGCCAGCATTGCTAAAATTTTATCTCAATGCGATCCAGATGACTCTCCCAGATCAGAGTAATTTAGTGAAATGGGGTAAAGGTACCGAAAAAACTTGGTATATCTGTGGAAAGGTAGTTGGAACTGCTAAGCATTTGCTGGTGGAATGTAAGGTACTCCTGGACAGCGGTCAGTACTCGCGTCTTCACGATAGGGTTCTAGAAGTCATACGTGAAGCGGTTTGTCTTTCGGTAGCCAGAGCGCAAAGGGAAATAACCACAAACGAACGATCAGTAGGTTTTGTGAGAGAAGGCACTAGGGCTACAAAATCAAACGTCAAGCCTTACTCCATCCTTAAAGCGGCGTCGGATTGGACTATAATGATGGATACGTATGAGAAAAAATACAAAATCCCCGAGGATATTTGTGCGTCGGCCTCCAGACCAGACATATTTCTATATTCGCGTGTTTTAAAGAGCGTTGTGATGATAGAGCTTATGGTGCCTTGGGAAACCAACATCCCCAAAGACCATGCCATCAAGGTCAATAAGTATTACGAGCTCACTAACGAACTAACTCGAAATAGGTTCGTCGTTGATTTGTACGTGGTAGAGGTGGGAGCGAGACGTATAGCAGCAAAATCTCTCTACAACCTACTAAAGTACAACATTCTTGGAACTTACGTCGAAGGCAGCCCTAGTAGGTTCTTTTCAAATTTGGTTAGGTAGAGAGAGGAGCTTGGACAGTGGAGGTGAGCGTAAAACGCGCGTTAGATAAGGGCCCCTTAAACCTACACTTGTTTCGTCTCAATGATGATTAGAATATTAGCAGTACTTGATTTTAAAACTAATTTATTATCTGACTGTTAAGTATGGCACTATGTCTAATTGTTATTAAAAATGAAATTACATTTAATGACTGCTGGTATAAAATGAATTCTATCACTGCAACAATAAGACTATATGTATTTAATCATATGCAATACATGCAGGAGCGGAAAATCACTTATCTTGTACAGTATATTAATTAATCATATTGTATTTTCCTGTTGCTTCATTGAGAAACTATAAATTATCCAAACTTATTTATATACAACAAAACCTGGTACAAAACTACATATAATATATGACGATTTGTAGGAAAAAAAATTACAATAACATATAAAATATTATATATTTTCCTCTTTCCATCTTTCAATCCATTCGACTATCGTATTTATGTTAGAATGTAGCTGATCCTCTGTGTTGTTTTGCAGTTCCTGAACTATTTCTGGTTTATATGATGATTGCGCCTCTTCTAACAGAGTCTCAAATATCTCGCATTGTATATTATCCTCTAACTTTTTCCCTGTGTAACCTCTGAAAGAACCATTTTTATTATAAGTTACTCTAATACAATACCGAAAATCCAACTCAAATTCATTTAAAAGTATATACCTGGCAGTTAATCTGTCATATAAGGAAGTATTATTTGTTCTAACAACAAACACACCGTCAAACCATCGTTCCGGGAAGAAATCACAGCCATGGTAGTCAACTATGTTACCACCTTTTGCAACCATTCCCTCCATTACATCGAGTAGCTAATAAAAAACATATTATTACAGAAGCATTATTATTATAGTCATAGGTTTTCTATTTGATAATGAGTTCTAGGGAGTTTTAAAGGAATGCAACATGAAATAACTTTTGTAATAAATTATGCAGTTCATTACTTCATTTCCATTTGTTCCCATATAGAATCATTTACAATGAAATAGATATATGAGAAGCCATCTCGAAATTTTACTTAAATCCATATCATTTTTGTTAAAAACAATGCTAACTCGACACACATTTTAATGTTATTTTTCTTACCTTATCTTCATTCAAAAATGGACAATTATATTCAGGATCATATTCATCCAGACAGTTATACTCTTCTGCTAATTTAGACACTTCCCTCCAAGCAAATTTTGTTCTTTCTGCCAGTAATCTACTGATTGTCGATTTACCAACGCCCGGTGTGCCTGAAAATGTACTCTCATATAATTGTACAACTTATGTTTTACTTCACATACAAATAACGTTTTTATTACTTAATGCTAATGAAATTACATTATGTTAATGCCATGATTTTTTTTTACTATTTAATTCATTTATATCGTAAATTGCTCCTTCATCTTCTAATTTGCTAAATAAATATAACCTACATTTCTCAAACATTAACATCGAAATGCTTTTTAAAATAAATAATGCAATTGATTAGGCTTAAGATTTTGTATTTTAATAGCATTATTAAAACATTTTACATGATATTTTTATATTCAATGTAAATTAGAGTCAAAACTAAGTCGAGACAAATAAATTACTATGATTTAAAAGCTTTATATTTAGAAAAATATACCTGTAATTAAAATGTTAGGAGATATTCTTTTTCGTGTCTCCATTTTATCACACCTTGCAGTAATTTATTTTAATGAAACACGAATAAAATAGAAGTAAATAGAGATTTATAAAAACAAAATATCCCATGCCGATATGTCAAATAGGGATTGACACAGCTTAAAATTCTTAGTTAATGTTTTTATAAAACCGATATCATGATGATGATATTAAAATAAATAAGACTGCATATGCGTAATCTATACTAATATTATAAAGCTGAAGAGTTTGTTTGTTCGTTTGTTTGAAAGCGCTAATCTCCGAAACTACTGGTTCGAATTGAATAATTCTTTTTGTGTTGGATAGTCCAGTTATCGAGGAAGGCTGTGGGCTATATAACATCACGCTACGACCAATAGGAGCAAAGACATAGTGGTAAATGTGTAAAAAACGGGAGAAATTATTTCATCTTTGAAGCCTTCCGTTGCGTGCGCCATGAAAACGGTTCAAGATACACAAAAAATATGTGTTAAAGAATAATAGCTCTTTTAATGATCTAAAAAACAGTCCGCGACAGTGTATGTCTATCTTTTAAGATTAACTCACAAAAACCGTTTTTATGGTTCCTAATTTGGTCGAAATAATTTGTTTAAGTTGTATCAACATAATAATATTAATCTTTATTCAAATAAACAAATAAATATGTTGTTGGTTAAGAGTACTTCATTGTGAATAAAAAAAACATAGGTTTTATCCTGAAAATTCTACGGGAACTCGACCATTCCGAAAACCCCGCAAGAACGGGAACTATGTGGGAAGAACCAAAAATCTGCCGGAAATCACTATTCCACGCGGACGAAGTCGCGGCAAGAGCTAGTACGTAATTTCAATAAAGAATAAATATTTACTTTTTAATGTCAGTATATTACTTTTTTTCACTTTCACTTCTTTTTTCACCCGCCAAATTATTAGTATTTAAAAACTAATTGAAATATGTATTACAAGAAGTTATTCTAATATAATAATGATACATTGCTTGCAATTTGTTTCAATTTTCTAATACAATCGACAAACAGAATGGTTTAGTAGACAAGTTGAAAATGTTACAAAGTAGAGATACTTCTCTTAAAATTATGTGCTATAGCTCATCCGGAATGACGCCTAGATAAATATACGAAAAGCATGTAAATGCATTAGGAGATTAAAAATTGCAAAAGCGATTAAAGAAAAAAAATGGCATTAATTTTTTGCATATAAATGAATAAACTATTAATATTATTTATAAAAAAGATGTGTTTTTGAAAACTATAAATATTGAATCCTAAATTTACTTAAAGTTATGTTTCAATAATTTAAACAAATATTCATTAACAAAATCTTTAGGCAGCCTAGGCAGCCTAGGAAGGCAGCCCTAGTAGGTTGTTTTCAAATTTGGTTAGGTAGAGAGAGAAGCTTGGACAGTGGAGGTGAGCGTATAACGATCGTTATACAAGGGGAACCTTAAATCTACTCCTGGGTCGCAAGTCCGAGGCACTGTTGAAGCTCCTCTCCCTGCAACGCGATGGACCCTGCAACATGTTGAATCCATGGAATGTTGAGAAGTTTCGTTTCGTCTCTTATTGGCAGTAGATTATATATCAAAATATTTTGATGTTACAATACATAAGTTAAAAATCCAAAGAGAAACCTACATTATATAAACATTGATACCGAAATCTAATTTTTCATATCCATTAGTTGGAAGGACATTAAAAATAATATTTTTGGGAAATGTTACACTAACACCACTTATTCAATACCTAGAATTTTCCATAATATTTTAAAATAGCACCGTTCAATTATGTTAAATAAAATTGCTACAAAAAAGTTAATTTGTTATAATATTGTGTCTGAATCTCTCAAATAACTCAACATCTTACCGATACCTTACTCTATCGATGTATGTAAAATAAAAACCGATAAAATCCGTCAAACGGCCGCATCACTAAAAAAATTTTAGGTTGTGTTTTTAATTTTATTAATAGGAAATAAATCGAAAACAACTCTTCCTAATGAAATATTAAAATATGAAAATATTTAGATCTCGCGGAATTACCAAAGCTCAAGTTGTACTTTGTTCAATACTAGGTGTGTTTGGCGGTGTGTATATTTGGAGGCCTTTAATCATTCAGTACTTGCCTCAGAAGAAGGAAATTAATGAAGACACAGCTACAATAGCATCAGAATAACATGGATGCAATAAAGAGATATTTTAAGAACTCTAGTCCTTTGGTGAAAATGTTCATGGCTATATCCATAACCTCTGGTTTGATTGCTCTCAACAACTTTTATTATAAACCTTACATAAGAAGGTCGAGACTTTTACAAGCAGAAGAATGGGCTTCTCGTGTAATTGAGAAAGAAGAAAATATAAATAATGATTAAGGGATCTACTCTTCTCTTGATCTTAAGACATATTTTATTATATTATGTAGTTATGTTAATGAATAAATATTAAAATAGAAATATCATATAATCATTTGATTTATCAATACAAACACCTTAAATATATAATCTATTATCTTCTTTTAATGAAATGTATCTCATTATATCCCATGTTTAGTATATAAGAAAATAAATTTATAGTACATATTTTATAATCAGTCTTAAAAATGTGTTTTGTAATATAATTTCTCATATTTTATTACATACAAACTACGATTTGTAAAGATATCTATTTGATATTCGTTTTCTTTATCTTTATTTTTCAATCTGTTATTTAGATACTGAGTAATAAGAGATTATGTAGCAATAAGAAATTATGTGACTAATTTCCAAATGAGGTCCTTGGTTACATGTTAGTTGTTGGGAAATGAGGATGTTAAAAATTTTAAATTCCTGTGGACTACATATTCGTGAAAATAGCCAATGTGTTGGTTGGGTATAAAAGTATCTTGTTTTAGCATTTGGAATATAACAAGATAAAGAAATTGTTTTTGTTTTTGTAAAAAAAAATCCTTTGTTCTTTTCAGCAGTTGCATAAACCTAATTTTTCTTGACTCTACCTTAACATTATTTATAACTCTTTTTTAAATCATCTTATATCTCAGACTTAGTTATTTAATGCTACATTTTTTTAAAGATTATATACATGTTTATTGAAATCTCTAGTGCACTATTCAAGTGAGCCTGAAGGAAAAGTCCTGAAGTGCATAATAAAATTTCTTCTAAATTTTTATGTATCTGTTGTCCTGAATTACCAAGATCTAAGTAACGATGCAGATGCCAAAATACATTGACCGGTTTTTGACCATTAACTTTTTTATACTGTTGTTATTCCACAACACGAAAGTACTTTCTATGCAATTATGTATCTTCATAGATATATGTATAATTATTCAACGAGTGCTGATTTGTTGATACTAAGTTTTCTTTTAAGGCATTTTATACTAGATCATACTAGTGTAATGTCGAAGTTTTAACGTCTCCCATATTATGTACAAATCATCAAAGGAGTAAACTATTTTTATAAGTACTTTCTTTTTAAGTTTATATGGTAAAATATATTAATTGGAAAAGAATAAGCAAGATCTTTTATTGAGAGGATCAAGTGTCAAATACAAATTTAATTCATTGCAGACTAATTTATCCATGTTGAATGAAAACTTACAGGGGGTAAATAGTTCAATAAAAATAAAACGTAATGATTACTGGAGGCTACCTTTATTCTATGAAATTTACATTTTAGATGTAATTGTAACAAAATATTTCAGATATATGTATAACCTTATAAATTATAAAATAATGTTACAGTATAAGCCTTGTAAAAAATATAGAAAAGGAATGAGTTTGTAGCCCTTTTTTCCTTCGGAACACCTTGCGGTGAATGAAGTATCGCAGTTTAATGAAGAATTGAGCTGTTAACAGCGCTAGCTACTTTTTGCCCTTAGTGGCCTTCTCAGCAGCCTTGGTGACCTTGCCACCACCAGCCTCCTTGTGGGTAACTGACTTGATGACACCGACGGCGACGGTCTGCCTCATGTCACGCACGGCGAAACGACCGAGGGGTGGGAACTCTTGGAAGGCCTCCACGCACAGGGGCTTGGAGGGCACCAGGTTGACGATGGCGGCGTCACCAGATTTGATGGATTTGGGATTCTCCTCAGTAGATTTACCGGAACGACGGTCAACCTTCTCCTTGATTTCGGCGAACTTGCAGGCGATGTGGGCTGTGTGGCAATCCAACACAGGCGTGTAACCGTTGGAGATTTGACCGGGGTGGTTGAGCACGATGACTTGTGCGGTGAAGTCGGCGGCTCCCTTGGGTGGGTTGTTCTTGGAGTCACCGGCGACGTATCCACGACGCAGTTCCTTGACGGAAACGTTCTTTACGTTGAAACCTACGTTGTCTCCGGGCACAGCCTCCTGGAGAGCTTCGTGGTGCATCTCCACAGACTTAACTTCAGTGGTGATGTTAGCTGGAGCAAACACGACGATGGTACCGGGCTTGAGGACACCAGTTTCGACTCTGCCTACGGGCACTGTACCAATACCACCGATTTTGTAGACGTCCTGGAGGGGAAGACGCAGGGCCTTGTCTGTGGGACGAGCTGGGGGCAGGATGGCGTCCAGGGCCTCGATGAGGCACTTGCCTTCAGCCTTGCCCTCTTTACGCTCGATTTGCCATCCCTTGAACCATGGCATTTTGGTGGACTGCTCCAACATGTTGTCTCCGTGCCAGCCAGAAATGGGTACGAAAGCGACAGCAGCTGGGTTGTAACCGATCTTCTTGATGTAGGAGGAAACTTCCTTCTTGATTTCCTCGAAACGGGATTCGCTGTATGGGGGCTCAGTGGAGTCCATTTTGTTGACACCCACGATCAGCTGCTTCACACCGAGGGTGAAAGCGAGGAGAGCGTGCTCCCGGGTCTGGCCGTTCTTGGAGATACCGGCTTCGAACTCACCAGTACCGGCGGCGACGATCAACACGGCGCAGTCGGCCTGGGAGGTTCCGGTGATCATGTTCTTGATGAAATCTCTGTGTCCGGGAGCGTCGATGATGGTGACGTAGAACTTAGAGGTTTCGAACTTCCATAAGGCGATGTCGATAGTGATACCACGTTCACGCTCAGCCTTCAGTTTGTCCAGTACCCAGGCATATTTGAAGGAACCCTTACCCATTTCCTGGGCTTCCTTCTCGAACTTCTCGATGGTACGTTTGTCGATACCACCGCATTTGTAGATCAAGTGACCTGTTGTTGTGGACTTGCCTGAGTCGACGTGTCCAATGACGACGATGTTAATGTGAATCTTTTCCTTGCCCATTTTTGGTTAGTCTGTAACAAAAATGAGAATAAATTAATTTTTCCACTTGTAAATAATAACACTCGATGATCGCGACACTTTACAAGGTCGTAGTTTCGCATGGATAAGCGACCGGCAATATGGCGGCCGCATGGCCGCCTCGCCCTATCTTGACGTTTAACAATGAATGTCGGCCATAATGGAATCAAATAGAGAAACAAATAATTGCTCTTAAAAGAAACAGCAAAAAAAACTGTTGAGTTAATAGTTATGAGAACATATGTTAAACGAAAGCGATCAATAAGGTAAATCAAAACCACGTGGTGACATGTGCCGGTAAGGAATGGTGTGACGCGTAAGCAAGTGCATTTTTAAAGAAAGAATAAAACTTAATATCACTGTAATAAAAACAAAAGAATTAAAATTGATTCCATATTCGAAAGCTCCAGTTAGAAGACCGAAGTTATGTAGTCTAAAGAAAAACTTAAATATGTCACCATATTTAACAGTTTCGATTTACATATTAATTTTTGTTATAAATTAAAATTAAACTACATTTAACGCTACCCACTAATATTCAAGTTGATATAAGATAAATAAAATCACTTAAGATTTATCACTTCACTTAATAATCCGGACACTCACCACGGATAGCGTGTATTATCCGAAAAAGACTCGAACAGAATGGACGAGAAATGGTTTTTCTTTCGCCTGGATAGAAATGGTCGTAGTCACTTCCGGCAAACAGTGTGACTATTTAAAAAAAATACATACTTCCCCATTTTTAAATGTTCTTATATTTTCGAAACTTTATGGGAAAGAAAAATATTTTATGTTATTAATGAATTCATTAAAAAAGTTGCAGTAAATTATATATATGTTAAAACATACATAAACCTAAGTAAAGGATAGAAAATATTTCTCAACTGGTCTGATAGAGTAAAAGATAATTTCAAACTCTTACTTTAATACTTTTTACTATATTCACTTTATAATCTGCTATTATAAGAATTAAATAATGTATTATTATTATTCAAGAATTAATTTTTATAAACTAAATATGAAAATTTGTTAAATTACTTGTTATATATAATTGCATATAAAAGTCAGCTATTGAATTCTTTTAAACTATAACACAGCTACATCTAATATATGTATATAATATGATATACTATACTAAATATGGAACATAAATTTTACAAAAAGGGAGTTTCAGTACCCTAGAAATGTTTATTATAATTACTAATTGGCTACACAATCCTTCCATGACATCATATCCGAAATTCGTTCAGAAATACCTGGAAATTATTCACTACTTTTAATATTGTATACAATGATTGAAAGTGGACTTTGTCTTAGTATATAACCGTATCTCCCAGTGGCCTTAATTTTATTCTATTATAGTTCTATAATTTATAAAATATAAATGATTTAACATATATTTGTAAAAATTTTATAATTTTCAATATAAGTAATGTTGAAATTAACTTAATTTTACTAGTATTATAAAGGTGAACCTATTTATAGCAACTGTGATCTAAATAAAATTTTGTATTAATTTAACAATCCGTTTATTTATATCCTGGAAAAAGGTGTACTATATAATTTAGTATGGTTGGGACTGTAAAATGAACTAGATTAAACACATCACTGCAGGGGAAATATTATGATTTTTTTTTGATTTTTAATCTAGTAATAATGTTAATAAATTTTAGTTATTTTCCCATATCTTAGGACTTTATTTCTAAGATATTTTGCTATATTATAATTTATATTTCTTAACGTATATAGAATAAAATATTTTGTCTTAATTTATAAACGTGATTAATTAAAATTGGATTTAAAAAACAGTATATAAGTTTGTAAATTTTAATAAAAATTAATATCTTGCTATTCTATGTGTATTGTCCATGATTAGTGTAAGCTCTACTCATTTCTGTGTCAAAAGTCAAAATCACGAAGTTCAGAATGAAATATTAAAAAATATATAATTATATTCAACCGTGTATTTGTAATTTTCCTTTTCCTTATACGATGTTTATCGGGAATGTAGTGAAAAATGTCATTTAGTTAATTTTTTTTCTAGTTGTTTTAATACTTACAACCAACTCAGTATGTTTAAGAGTCGAGGTGATAGCAATATTGTTTATAAATGTACTGTGAGACTACTAGAAGATACTGAAATATTAGAATGCGAATTTCACGTAAGTTTTAATATGTTTGAAAATGACTCAGGTTCAAATAGATTATGTTTATTACCTTCATAGCTCAAACACTTATGTATTATACTTTTATATCAGTTGTATAGGGTTAAAAGACTTTAAAACTATTACTTTTTCAATGAAAATCACGTTCCGATATCTATTTACTTAATTATTTATATATAGAATATACTATTATAATTTTAAGACACATTATTCCTGTTCCAGCCATCTTACAAGGGCAAATTCCTGTTAGAACATGTTTGCCAACAATTGAATCTGACTGAAACTGATTACTTTGGCCTCCGATATGTGGATGGAAACGGTCAAAGGGTTAGTTGGGAGAAAAAACTATATTACTTTGTATAAAAAGGAAACATTGAACAATTAATTAATTTTTTTTTATATAAAAATAAAAAAAAAACATTAAAATTTTTGCGTAAAATCCATACAATAAGCTTAATTTCAAAATAAATATATTAGAAGAATTTTATTACTACTTCCTAAATATATTAATTTTTAATTAAAATTGTTTCAGCATTGGTTGCATTTAGCCAAAGTTATATTGAAACAAGTGAAAGGTGAGTTGATATGATAAAGAGTAATATTATATATAGAAAGGTCAAATAGGGATGGATGGTTAGAAAATAATGTTAGTTTATTAAACATTTTAGAAATAACTTTAATAATTAATTTGTTACAACCATTAATTACACCTGGGTCTACAGATAAATCTTAGAAATTTTGAGGAAGAAAAATGTAGTGCTTGTGATATTTTGTCATACATAGATAGTGTACACTGTATCTGAAATATAAAAATTAAGATATATTATTATGTATTAGTTATGCTTGTTTGGTATTGTTAAAATAACAATATGATGTCAAGTGTAATGTATGTAGATCACTTTATTATATTAGTTTCTGTCATTAAGTTTCTACTTACCTCAATACATACATGACAATTTTAAAATAGTTTTATTGAATACTACAATTATATAATTATTACTATTAACATGATATAATCACCTTATTTTATCCCTCAAAGTCATTTTCAAGTATATCAAACACTAATAGATTTACTTAGTTTATGAAACTTGTTTTTACAGATGCCTCACCAATATTATTTAGTTTTCGGGTAAAGTTCTATCCTCCAAATCCTTTACTATTGAAGGAGGATGTAACGAGATTTCAAATATATCTCCAGTTGAAACGTGATTTACTCCATGGCCGATTATATTGTACTGCAAATGAAGCAGCAATGCTCGGAGCGCTTATAATACAAAGTAAGGTTTAAAAAACTTTATTATTTACTTTATCCTAGTTATTTATAGCATAAGGCTTTTATATATATTTTTTAATATTTTAATTACTGGCAAGGCATATTAATACAATTTAAATATAGGTTATATGCCCCACATGAGACTTCATGTGTTTTCATGATTTTTTGTTAGATAATACATTATGAAAATCATATTTATTTGTACTAGTATATTTGTAAAGTGATATATGATACATTGTGGGTATGTCGTTGTTGAAAAATATTATGCAACATAAGATTTCACAATTCTATGATAAAAGATTTCGCAATATTATGAATTAGGCATGTTTAACAGAATTATATGTACTTTGAAATGAGTCATCGGGAGAGTCATAGTTTTGAAGTGTTGTGATAAAATGGTTTGGAGGAGTATTAATAATTTTAGTACTGAATTAAATTTTGTATTAGTGTTTTAGTTGTTGCTTCAAAATTTTTATGATAATTAAAGATAAGTGATCTATATTAATGGGCCATTATTTGGATAAGATATTGTCAGATTTATCTATTCCTTTGTTTTATTGAAAATTAATAAAAGTATATGAAAATTATTATTTTAATTGACTGGTTTATCTTTAAATATATTAATCTATTGTACTGTGTACATATTTATGTCACTGAACTCTGCAGTGACTAGACTAGACTGATTTGAATGATTTTTTTTTTTGCATCTATGTGCCCAAGATGGTTTAGGTTCACAAATAAGCCCATAAGGTGGCTGCAGTCGCTAGCTAATTTAATTTAAATTCAAAAACCTCCCCATACAACTATATGCATTGTTTTAGCAATATTATACATTTACATATTTTTTCGCTGACGGAGTCTCGGGCAAAAACTGATTCAATATAATAAACATCTAATTTCACAAACAGTCAATAAGTTTAAGCTTTAATTTTGGCATTGTAAAGAAAGATTACAAGATGCAACTATTTTTGGTTGGTTGAACATTTTTTACTGTCACTGGATTTTCATTACCTATTTATTATCCGTAATCTTTTTAAATCATTACAAAGAAAATGCCTAATTGTTTAAGGTTCCTTTTTTAACCAATAATATACATGTATATTTCCATATGTTCATAATATTGTTAAATTATAATTAATATTACTCTCTTAATTTTTATACTAGTGTAATAAATGAAACTGTATTATTTGTAGTCGAACTTGGCGACTACGACCCGAATATTCACGTTGGTAACTATGTTACGGAGATGAAGATATTGTTAAGACAAACAGACGCTATTGAGGCCAGGATACAGGTACACACACATAATAATAATAACTTGAGTTTAAATATTCTATAACATTAATTATATATCAATATGCACTTATAATGTATGTATAAAATTTTAATAGGTTTTTTTCTTATATGGCAATTTAAGTTGTTTTAAATATGGCCTTTATCAATGCAAATATGGGCGCAGTATATTCTGCCAGTGTAATGTAGAATGGAGGAGACACGAAATGGGATTAATTTAGGAATGTAATAAAATTAACCAACTAAGAAGGCAATTTAAGTGGCCAACAACTATTTTTGACATGCATGATAAATGAAAACAATCATTTGCTCAAATAAATATTTAATGGTATAGCTAACTTAAAACAAGTTTCATTCATAGAAACTCAAAGATTATATTTATATAATAAAAATGTAAAAGTTACTTAGGATAACAAGTTCCTTAAACATAGATAATATCACTGACAGACTTGAAATAATAAATAAATAATTCAATAACATATTTTATCACATTATACATATTTATACCTTATTGCAACTACTATAAAGCTGATAATCGCATACCCAGGAGCTGCACCGTGAGTCTATAGAGGGCGCCACCGGCGGCGGCGCGTGTACGGACGGTGGGGTCCGAGGCTTATCAACACAGGAGGCCGAGCAGACCTTCCTACGTATAGCATGTACACTGGACACTTATGGAGTGGACCCTCACCCTGTTAAGGTACTTGATTACATAATACATTTATGAAACTTGATGTAAGGATATCTGACTACTGCTTATATATTATATATGAATAAATGAAGGCGATAATTTCTTTAATTACGCCTTTTTTATTACTTTGAGCTATATACTAAAGATGTTTTGGTTGCTTGTGAAATGAAAATCTCTGACCGTGATCACAGTGAACATGCAGTTTAAAATAATAAAAAATATATTGTGTTCGTAATTTAAACAGTGACAATCAAGAAATATTCTGGAAATTTCAAATCTGCAACTCATTGAAATAAAAAATACAGAAATGAAATCCATATTCATTTGAATTTAATTCAACTTTATATTACAATAAATTATTCTTAAGAAAATGTTTATAATCTTCAATATAAATGTTTCAGGACCATCGCGGTAACCAACTGTATTTGGGCATCAATCACAGCGGGATCCTAACATTCCAGGGCAGTCGGAAGACACATCACTTTAAGTGGGCCGAAGTACACAAGATAAACTTCGAGGGCAGAATGTTTATAGTGCATTTAAATTACCCTGAGGTAATTATTATATAATTTTTACCTACATAAAGTAATGTTGGACCTATATGATATGATTTCACATCCATAATCTCTTAACAATTTATTATATACAAGATTAACCAATATAAATATTACTATTATCTCTTAAATTTTTTTAGGGGTTAACATATGTACCATATTATATGTATAAAAATATGAAGTATTTTATTATATTATGAGTAATTTTTATGTTTTTCAGAAGAAGCATACAGTTGGTTTCAAGTGTCCGAGCGGAGCCGCGTGCCGTCACGTGTGGTGCTGCGCCATAGAACAAATGCTGTTCTTCACGTATGGCTGATGATAGTTTATATGAGATACAGTCATAGAAGATTTCCCCCTAAAAAATTTTCTTCAACTATATTTACCTTTAGACTAGATTAGACGTACAAAATAACAGACATGAGAGAAAATTTTCTAAATTATTGATTTCAATATGACATTCTAGAAAGGTGAATTTTTATCACTTTTTTTTTTATTTGTATGGAATTTAAATGTAATCTAGTTGAGCAATGATTAATCTCCAATCTGGTCATGAAAGTATTTCATTGCATAAGCTTTGCATGGATTGCAAAAAAATAATAATTACAACTATTGAATTTAGAGTAAAAAACACTTTTCAATAACTTATATCCATCTATATCTCATCTGTAACATATCTCATCATCATTCATCATATCTCATCATCATGACTCATCATAATGATATATTCCAGGCTGGCGTCTTCTTCAGAAGCATGTGTGTACTCGGGCGGAGGTCTGTTTTCCTGGGGAACTAAATTCAAGTATGCAGGAAGAACTGAGAGGGAAATATTAGAAAGAGATGGACTACTGGCTACTAATAGAGATGATCAGGTTCGCTTAAAGAAACTATGTTATATGTAGCTTATATAAGTAATAAAAACAACTATATCACCATTATTATGTATGTAATGTATTGTATTTTCATTATATTAACTTTTAATTTTATATCATTCTCATATTCATTGCAGTTATGATTTACAAGAGGCTATTCAATAACTTATTGGTTTTTTATTGTATTATATTGTTGATTTACATAATTATTATATTTAATTTTATATTATGATTCTATTTTATTTTTTAATGAATATTCCAGGAGGAAGGTTCCAGTGTGGGTGGGAAGAGAAAAGCATCAAGTGTTCCAGCAACCCCCTCTACACCAATGACTGGAGATTTTGGTAAGTATGAAGTGAAAAAGCAAAAATATATTTTATATACTAAGACTTCAGTTTGAAATATTATATATAATATTTGATATGTAAATTATATTCCAATTTAATAGATGCTTAGTGATGAATTAATGTATTAATTAATTAATTGTATTTAAATGAAACTAATATTTTCGGATTTACTACGCGTCTTTATTTTTGACTATAAACTACATACTCCCGACATTTCAGCTACTATACAATAACCATGATCACGGGCAGACGAGATGTGTGTAATTGTATTTACTTATAACCTCAGATAAATCATTATAAGTCTGATAAAATACAACATTAGCTCTTCTGTTTATGTCATTCATATAGTCATGTCTAATTATCACTTTAATATGAATAGAAAATGTGGAATTGAAAAATTCATTAATATATTATGCAAGTTACTTTGCCAAAATACATTTCTGCTCTTCTTATATATTTTCTGTATCATACATTTTTAACTTTTCATATATTATTTTGTGTAGACATATGTATATTTGTATATTTAATGATCCTCCCTCCTCCAGGTTACTCAAGCCTGCCACGGTCGACTCACAGTGCTCCATTAGAAGAAAGTCAAGTGGACGGTGACCTGTGTGACGGAGGCTGTCTGTTGGGAGGACCCGCTGTGGACATAGCACTGGCCTGCTGCGATCACCTCAGACATAGTGATGATAAACAACGTGAGGACATTAATGTATATAGTAAACTAGCTGCGCCCCGCGGTGTTACCCGCGGATTTCTGGGATTTCCGGGATGTAAAGTAGCCTGTGTGTTATTCCTGGACGTCAGCTTCATGTATACAAAATTTTATCAAAATCGGTTCAGCCGTTTGAGCGTGAAGAAGTAACAAACATACACACACACTCACAAACTCTCGCAATTATAATATTAGTAGGATATACATGTACACACATATATACACTTTCTGTGTATGTGTGTTATGTGTAGTGTATGTCGTTATTTTTCTTATTATGGTTATATTGTAACTTTAGTTAAGACTTTTGTTGTACAGAGATAACGTTAGTTCCATAGTATGTAATATGTGATAGAATATTATATGAATAAAATTATTAACACTTATACAAGTCAGAAACTATTCTAGCAAATTCCGACATAGTAACTGATGGAATGATTTGTAGAGAGACAACATATAGTGTTATCTTCTTCTTCTATACAGGGTGACTGGTGAATTACTATCGATATTTGAGGACGTGATATTTGACGATCATATATGACAAAATAAAAATTAATATAACATAAATATTAATAAACTTCTAAGTAAAGTTGACTAAAAGTTATGTAATTAATTACGCATCGTATGAACACCCTACAGATTACGTATACACACACACACACACACACACACACACTTGGATCACTTGGAACGTGTACACACTTTATTTATTTATACGGAAATTTGGTCAAAAATTAAGTACCTATTTTTTTACATAATTCGAATGAGAATCATGTACCGAGTATGCTCCTTAAATATTGATAGTAATTCACCAGTCACCCTGTATATATAAAAATGGATTGCTGTTCCTTAGTCTCGCTAAAACTCAAGAACAGCTGAACGGATTTATCTTATCTTAGTCTTGAAATGTTCGTGGAGGTTCAGGCAAGGTTTAAAAGCTAAAAAAATTGATACATTACTGGGAAAACCATAAAAACAGCCCTTTTCTATTTCCCATACAAACGTTTTTTTTGACATTAGATTTGACAACTAACTAATATGTCAATCATTCTGTCGCACTTCAAAACACGGAGGTAAACTCCAAAAATATAAATAAAAAAACGTAATAGATATTTCTTGATCATAGGGCGATACGAAGTTCTCTGGGTCTTCTAGGATATATATGCATATGTACACTTTCTATGTATATGTGTTATTAGCTTTTGCCGCGACTTCGTCCGCGTGGAATAGTGACTTCCGGCAGATTTTTGGTTCTTCCCACATAGTTCCCGTTCTTGCGGGGTTTTCGGAATGGTCGAGTTCCAGTAGGATTTTCAGGATAAAACCTATGTTTTTTTTTTATTCACAATGAAGTACTCTTAACCAACAACATATTTATTTGTTTATTTGAATAAAGATTAATATTATTATGTTGATACAACTTAAACAAATTATTTCGACCAAATTAGGTACCATAAAAACGGTTTTTGTGAGTTAATCTTAAAAGATAGACATATACTGTCGGGGACTGTTTTTTAGAAAATAAAGAGGGATTATTCTTTAATACATATTTTTTTGTGTATCTTTAAGCGTTTTCACGGCGCACCCAACGGAAGGCTTCAAAGATGAAATAATTTCTCCCGTTTTTTTACACATTTACCACTATATCTTTGCTCCTATTGGTCGTAGCGTGATGTTATATAGCCCACAGCCTTCCTCGATAACTGGACTATACAACACAAAAAGAATTATTCAATTTGAACCAGTAGTTTCTGAGATTAGCGCTTTCAAATAAACAAACAAACTCTTCCGCTTTATAACATTAGTATAGATGTGTAGTGGATGGCGTTATTGGTCTTATTTTGATGGTATTGTCACTTTAGTTAAGACTTTTATTGTACAGATATGCCATTTCCATAGTATTCTAGAAGATTCATACATAGGATCTGATGAAATGATATTCCGTGTATTATTTCCAGCGTGTCCCGAATATAGTCCCCGCGATCCGTTCGACCATTCGTCGAGTGAGTCAGCGGCGACCACCCACGTGACCTACGTGTCCCAGACGTCTCACGCGGCGGAGGAGTGGCGTCCGCCGGCCCTGCAGCCTCCGCCGCGGCCCTTCAGCCTCCTCAGGGCGTTCGTACCATCCTTCTTATTCGTGTGCCTCTTGCTCTCACTAGCTATCCTCCTACTATTCGAAACCGACTGGCCCCTACTGCGGCCTCTCAAACGCAAACCCGAACTTGTCTCGCTTCGACACCACTACTACGCGCCCCTAAAGGAATATCTGAAGAAGAAAATCGTGGAGCTGTTCTGATGCGCAAACAGTTGACTGAGTTTTGTATACCGGTGGAGTCAATTCTGAAGTGTCAAAGAAATATTTTCGACACCTTTTACGGAATCCCGATGTTTTTTGCATTTAATTATAGTATTTATTGATTATACATTATTAATTTAGTTATACGTGTAACAGTCCGCGTTAAGCTTGTATGTTTCCGTTGAGTACCGCTGTCGCGCACACCTCTTGTGATAGTATGAATGAATGTTTATCGGAACTTCCCTATGACGAATTCTTGACACGTATTAATTGTTATTTATATGCGTAGTGTATGTCGTGAAGAGATCTAAAATCTATTATATATAAGTTAAAAATTTATAAACTAACGTGCACTTAGCTTGATGCACACTAAATGTGAACGGTAGTTGTAATAGTGAATGTTTGTCCTCACGGGAGATCGTACAAATAGCGCAAGGCTTTCTAGAATAGTTATTTATAATATTGTACGGACATTACATTGAATCTCATGATTATTATTATAGATCTTTATACATAATATGTTGTATAACATTCCATTTTATTAACGACACTGATTTATATTTCTCACTCGCATTATTTTTATTCGCAATTTAATTTTTAAGCATTTTAAATACATAATGTACTTATAAATCTTGGAAGTTCCTTATACTTTTTTTTTGTGAATTATTTAACAAAAACGTTCTAATGAATCTCACATTTGTAGTTCATGTGATTGTATTTACAAATATTTTGTACCTGATGGCATTGGAATTAGTTGTACGCCTTATTAGTGTTACTAACACTAGATTTAAAACGCTTTCTCCCCTAGTCACCTATAGTTTCTCTATTAAATTATTGTTTTTTCTAATATATTTTTGACATATAATAAAATCTATTTAATTATAACTAAGCTTATGCACAACATTATTTTCTTATTTTAATTTTTACACCTTTACAATTAACATTATAAAATAGTCTTTAATTTATTTTTTATAAATTTTGTGTTTAATATTTGTGGTATTAATTTTTTCTCATAACAAATTTATATACATATAAAATAATGAATGTACATTCTAAGGTTCAGTCTACACTATAAAGCAGATCTTAATTTTTATTATTCTCTTATATATTATGAATAGTTCAAAATACGATAATTATTAACAAAAATATTGCATTTGGTTTTTGTTCATCAAGAGGCCTGTTATATAGTGTAGTCAGAGCCTTATATTTAATGAAATTTTAAAGATTGTACAGCTGTAGTGTAACAGCCGAAAATATACATCAATTGAATAGAATTTTCGCAGTATTCGAAATATATGCTTACATTTGTTTTTGTACTTATTACTAAATATGTTATTTTTATACTTTAACGCCTTTTGCAAAAGCTATATAGCATTAAGGAAGTTTTATTACGTAGTTTAGTTTCTAGCTGAAAGATTTGGTAATGTATTTTTTTGTAAGGACTGACTGTGACGCGGATGCCAAATTATGGCAGACTTTTGTCTGGCCATCATCCTTTTAACGGTCCAATGTTTGCCATTCCACAGCTGATGTGTACACACGGCCATCCATTGTAATACCTGGCTAGCACAAATAATAAACGATCTAATACGATAAAAGACTTTCATTCAATGAAACCACCAGTTCAGATTCATATTCTTTTATTATTTCAAAAGTAATTCAAAAATAAGCAACAAACAAATAACAACGTAAAACATTATATTTTGTATAGAGATTTGATTAAACACTGTTATGGATGTCAATTAGTTTTAATTCATGTAAATATATTTGTAAACACATGTCGGCTCGGGATTCGTTACATATTTAGATATTCCAAATATGGCACATATTAATGTACAATTAAATGTGTTTTATTGAAACGAATATCACTTAGATCATATTTTGAGCATAAAAATATAATTGCGTTATGCAAGATTTAGATTTATAAATTTTATATTGAAAATAATTAAGATTTGCGTCTAACTTAATATTAATAATAGTTTGAGCGATGAAATAATAACACCATATTATATGACGGTACAGCGAAATAAACACGATAAACTTATAAATTCAGATTCATTCTAAGGATTAAACATTTAATCATCTTGAGCTATAAACAATATTCATAAAAAAAATCCTTAAACACCCATATAATATGTAGTTCCTAATAGTAAAGTTATATAATAAAATAGCGTTTAAAGAAATTATCAAATACATTAGTGCGTCGTCGCATCTCCGATGGGCGACATTCTCAACATTCCGAGTGACGTCACTTGTTGTCGGAATGTAAAAGAAGTTCCACACCATCCCTAGTTCATTATAATATGACTCGTGAGGAGCTCGCGGTCCCGGGGTCGCAGCGTTAGCTTCTAAATTCGGTTACACAGTATAACATTATAAAATACGGCTACCATTACTAATATTATTGTCCATAAGAATGCGTGTTTGCGTGTATGGGAGTGATGCGAGGTGGATTCGGGTTCAGTCTACGATGGATATCTGAGCGTAGCCGACGAGTCCCTTTTCGTCGGGCGGCGGGGCGTCCGGGGCCGTGGACGTGGACTCGAGACGGAAGGTGAGCGAGCGAGGAGGAGGAGTGTCCCCGGGGAACAGCGTGGCGTCCACCAGCCGCTGTAACTGAGAGGCGATGGCGTTAGCGTCCGCCGCCGCCACCAGCCCCGCGCCCACCAGCTCGGTTGCGATCCCGTCCGCCGAGTCCTTGCCCGCCGCGAACTCGAAGCGGATGTCGTTGAGTTCGTTCCTCGCGTTCCTCATCCGCAGCACGAGGTTCAGCTGCGGCGCCTCGTCCACGTCCAACGAGCCGATGGTGAACCCCGCGCGCTCCGTGTCCGGCTCGCTGTCCGAGGAGTCAGCCCGCAGCAGCTGGTTCATGGGTCGGTCACGCCGCTCGTCCTCCTCCTCGCCGTCCTCCTCGTCACTCTCCCACACCCACTCGCCGGTTTCCATACGATGCAGTCTCCCGGACGCTCCCGGTTGCCGCCGACTCGCCTTGTGCACGCGGGTTTCCATACTGGGACCTATCGACACGAGAGTCTGCACAAGATACTTCCTGTCCTTGGCTTTCTTGAAGAACGAGTGTTTCAGCAGCTCGGTGGCGGACGGCCTCTTGGTCGGGTCCTTCTGGAGACATTCCGATATCATCTTCCTGAAGGTCTTCCCGTAAGCCTTGTACTGGTCTTTGTCCTCGGCGCCGGTGTCGATGGTCGGCGGATCGTTCTGTAGAGTGAGCATGAGCACCTTCATGGGAGGGTATTTGTGGTAGGGCGCGGTGCCCGTCGCCATCTCGATGGCGGTGATGCCGAACGACCAGATGTCAGCCTTGAAGTCGTACCCGTGGTTTTGCTCCATGACTTCAGGGGCCATCCAGCAAGGTGTTCCTACGAACGTATGGCGCACCTTCTGCCGCGACAGATCCCGCCCGGTCGCGAGCCAGGCTGACACACCGAAGTCCGCGATCTGAACGATCCCGTCGTCTCCTAGGAGTATGTTACCAGCCTTGATGTCTCTGTGGATTTGGCCGTTCTGATGAAAATACTCCAAACCCCTGAGAACCTCCTTCAGGACGGTGGCGATGGTAGCTTCGTCGAAAACCCCGTGTTTGCAGTTCGAGACCCTCATTTTGTGTTTGATTATATCCAACAAACTGCCGCCTTCGAGGAGTCTTAAAACTAGCCAGAGCTCTTCTTTGACTACGAAACTAGTGTAGTAGGTGACCACGTTTTCGTGGTTACAGCTCGACATAGCTTGTATCTCCTTAAGCAGCTCGTCCATGGAGGTGTTCCATTTCTCCAGGTTGATACGTTTTATGGCGCACTTTTCGCCTCGTGGACGGCAATAAGCAGCGTGGACGACAGCCGTAGCGCCCACGCCGATCACTTCAAGAAGCTCATAGTCATCTTGACTGTTAGGCCACATGTGACCCGAACTCATGATTGCAGATTAATATTACCGACACCTATGAAAATGATTTAGTTCTATGATATAAAAGTTTTGTACTATGAAAGGTCTGATCTAAGGCGATGTGATGATCTAAACTTTCAAATGTATTGTAGCATTCAAGGGCTTGACTTGATCACCCATATTGATATGATTGCTCGGTTTGTAATTTTGTGTCACCACAAAGGTTCCTTGTTTGCTGGTTTCAAATCTATGCAATGTTTGATTTGTATCTCGAAGTTCTTCAAGGGTTTTTGCTTCTTCTATAACCGTTTCTATGTTAAGATCTACATTTGATGGGTATAGATAGTCACCTAAAAAAAAATTTGTATATTTTACTTGAATCATTATCAAAATTAAATATACCTGATATTAATTACCTGGCAAAAGGTGGGCAATTCCATCAGCTGCTTGAATGGCAGTGGGGAAGATAAGGTCATTACCCTCACAACTCTTTTCTTTTGCAAAATCTTTTAACTTATCAATGTCTTTGAAATAAGAAAACGGTTTAATTCATAAGCTTGAGGAGGGTAGAGTATCAATTGCTTGTTTTTGTTACGTTCTAGTGTTTCAAGAGGAGTGGACCACTGAAATAATGAAAATCATATGAATTACATATATTAATTTGGAATAAGAAAAGCAACAATAAAACGATATATGGTTAAAATAAAAAAATCTATATACCTCAACCTTCACTACTTCGGAATTGGCTTTAATATCTGAAGGCTTATTTTGTAAAGCAGCTAAAAAGAATGCTGTATCAAATCTTGCAGGCAAATGTGTCGGAGACAACCAATTACTCCAATAATGCAACCCAAATATATCAGGGTAGCAATTGTGCTCTTTACAAAGAGACAAAAAATCCAAGGGGTCTTTGTTCAACTAAAATAATTTTGAATAAAACTACATATGACAGTTACTTTGTCCTTTGTTAGAAAAGTCATTAAATAAAATGTTTCCGATAAGATTTCTGAATCACTTCTTAATAAACAATAAGACTCGCTGATAAAAAGTATATTAAAATTACATATGAAGCAGTATTATAAGTGTAACATGAATTAAACTACATCATTTATTCATCGTCACAAATCAAAACAACTTAAGTGATAGTAAATAATGAAGTAATATTTAAAATATATTAATAAAGATATCAAAAGGTTCAATTACCCGTGCCTGCCAGTATTTAACATCAACGCCATGTACACACTGAGACCATGAATCACTTTTGTTGTTTTTATGCCGGGAACTGCAAATAAGCAGGCCGAGCTCCTCAAATGTCTCTCTAATTGCTGTTATTCTTAAAGCAATATGTCTGCCGACAACATTAAAACTTTGATATAAAAAATATACAAGGTCAAGGCTAAACTGCATATAGGCACTTGAAAGAAACAAATTGATATGCCTGAGTAGACTCGATGTTTTTAGAATCATGACAATCAACACAATAGAATTATAGCAGGTCATTTAATACTTTTTCAATTCAACTACTTACAATATACTATGTATCATGGACAAATATATTTGAACCTGTTAACTGCTTTAGATATTATATATAGCTGTATTGTATATCTTAGGTATTGTTTTAAAAAAGTAATAGAGGATGTAAATAGGTAACTTAAACTTTGTGTATAGAAAAATTATAATTAAAATGCAATTTATCACCTTTTAATGGGGTTACTCGCTAGAATGGGGGTTACTGGGGCACTAGCTTTGTGTAAAGTCTCGAAATCTCTGTGATTGTAACCGAAAGAGCTGAGGAGGTGAAGCCAATGATCACTCGCGTCCGCCTCCTCACACACACCGCCCGGAAACACTACACTGTTCGAGAAAGAAGCGCTATGCGTCCGAGTCTGCAACAAGATATCGTAGTTACAATCCCCTGCGTTTCCACTCGACGAAACATCCACATTCCTTTTAGCGATCACTATCAATGAAGCGGAATCACGCCAACATTTCCCGATTGCTCTTTTCATGATGCCGTTCTCACTGTATATAACATTAAATTGGGTAATATTGCAGTAGCCAAGTAGGGGTTATGCTACAAGGCCGAAACTTACGTTTTCCTCTCTACATTTGTTTTACGAAATTTTGATTGTCTTATCTAATGTGATATATGTATTATATGATAAGTTTGTTTTTACATTCGCTTACTTTTGATTTATATGAATCTATAGACAATACAAAAATAGCTTTGGAATTGACATTAACTCATCAAGACTTCAAATTTCTATAATTCACTGCGACATTTGGTATAAATTATAATAAGTAATGAATAGTCTGAAAAGTACATTAAATTAATTTCAATAAAGAAAATATTTATATTTAAGAAATTATTCTCGTAATTATTAAAAATATATCTTATAAATGAAAAAGTACCGTATAGTTTTATTCCGTGTGAATACTATTTTATTTTCAATTTTCTAATGGCAACTTTTGTTAGGCTGGTAGTACATAGGATTATAGTCTATGAAGGAATATCTTTAGCTTCTGAGTAGTAAAATATTTATACAAAAAATATAATATATTGTATAGATAGGTTAATTATTTTTGATAGAACAATAACTATAAATTATTCTTCATGTTAAACTTTTAAAAAGTGTGGACGGACCTTATATGTTTTAAATACAAACTGTTTATGCAAAGTTAAATTGTCAATTATATTTTTTATAAATTTAGAAAAACAATCAATTACTTCAATCGAGTATAATAAACTGCTCTTCTGCTTCTACTACAATTATAACTAACACAATATTTTTAAAAACTCATTTCTTCACATAAATGAAGAAAAAAATATGTAAATTGCAAAAAAATTAAAATGTTTTTAAAATTTGTGGGTCCTTTATATCCTCATTATATTGTTCATATTTAAAAGCGGTGCTTGTCACATGTCATTAGCTGAACCGGTAATTCCTTAACCCATGTCAATATAAAAACTTATAAGTATAATCTACTGTGTCACCCGATATTACATATAATATGAAGTAATCAATATAGAAGTAAACAAAATTCATCTTACTCCTCGGAGCTTGTGCCCTCATTTATAATACACAGTGACACATTTAGGTTCCTTGGAAAACTAATTACACGAGTAGTACAAGTCTTTTTCTCAGAAGTGTTATTTATAGAGATGAAAACTTATTATATGTATTCTGTTACATTTATATGTAAGAATAAATAATTATAAAAATATCGACCAATTGATGTGTTAATGTGATAAATATTAGAAAAATACTGGATTTTTTTAAAAGTTTAATTTTTTGTATATTACGACTATTTATGGTAAATTTATTGTAAAACATGAGCAATGAGCTTAGAAAAAGAAGAAAGCTATTTTTATTCCTCTTGACGCCTTTATAAATCGGAGATGCATTTTATTCAAATTGTGAAGAAGCAAAGTTGTGCGTCGATTAATTCACTCATCAAACTAAGCGGATTTAACAATAGATTGATTATTTGCGTTTTTATACCCCTTTTTTTTTAAATAATATATTACAATGTATATTTTCTCTACTTCTTATTGGTAGAGCTATTTTGTGCGGTATTTCTCGAACGAAATTACTTCCGTTGAAAATATTCGATTGTATATTAATATTTTTTTTTATTATTCGATTGTAATCTCCAGTTAATATAAATCAAAAATCTTATTTAAAGCACGGAATACTTAACACCGAAAAAAAAAATTAAACATGTACTTAGTAGGTTCTGTCAGTTTCAAGTATAAGATTAGATAAATATTAAATGGATCCTAATTTTGACTATAATTACACGAGATACTTATTTGTTGGAAGTCATATACATAATAAGATAGGCCGCATATGTAATAAATAATAATACACGTCAAATAATAGTTTCTAATTTGAGGTCATAGACAACCATAGACTTTTCTGATTCTATAAGCTTTAATTGAACTTCTAATTAAGTATGCACCCTTAGTTTGCTTTGTCACACTATACAGAGTGTTGACAGTTTGTCATTTATACGTCTTGACACGTATAGTAACGTCAATTATTGAATGAGAAATGGGAAATGTTTTGAATGTACTGGGTGATGTTTATTTGTGCAAAGCATTGGTCAGTTACAGCCGATATCTTTAACTTATGAAGCTGAAATTTTGTTTACACTTTTAATTTTCTCTCTGTAGTACAGTTGATTTTTTATTTTTAATTTTCTCTAACAATATGGATTGCAAATTAAACGACTTTTTGGGTATAATTCGACTATGTTATGGTTATAAATAATACTTTAGCTTTTAAAACTATTGGATATGAAGACAAATCAATAATCGTCTTTTTGCCATTTTAGTTATTAATGTTTATACGTTTTCAAAATAATTAATTTATTAAGATATAACAACCAATACACTTCGTGGCAACTGTTGGAATAACAATGACTTAGATATATGTTGATTAATTACCATTAGTTATTGAAACATTTGCTTAAGAAAAAAATATATTGAATTAAACTATTTTGTATTAATCGTACAATTGCCTTTCATAGGTTGTCAACCTAGGGCAAAGCTGGCATTTGACAGATAAAACATTATTTTATCTGTATAAAATCATTGTTTATATAAATGACAATTGTATAGCAACATTAAAAGCAAGACAGCCAACACAATGAAGCGAAAAGATTAAATTACTTATTCAAGTAATGTTACAAAGAGAATGTTATTATTTCTTAGTGCTAAGGTAATATTCCCGTACGGGTTAGTTGAGGCGTGGGGCAGAATGGTCTAGCCATGAAGATAACAATCAAGGTCCGGTATACACGTGCCGATAATGTTTTGAGCTTATTAGGACTTGATTTCTCTTGTTGCTTTTATTTATTTTTTGTATGATATAAGAAAATTAATCATAGTAATTGTATGATGTGTTTGAAATATTATTAAATTTTACAACAGCTATTGTATATATTATAATAAATAATAATTAAACAATATATTATTTAGTGTGTACACACAAAAAAAAATTTGCTATTAAGTGTTGCTATTACATTATAAGATAAACTTATGGCAAGCGTTGCCAAAATTTTATTATGTTGTTTAAAGATATTATTTGGTGTGATAACATCCTTAGGGAAGTAGAAAGTAATGACGTACCTTAAGATAATGTTAGTTCTGTTCACTGGCAACGAAGGTACATGATCAAATAGCTTCTGATACTATCATTATAGCTGTCTAGTATTACACATTTGCATTATCAGAGACTGATCAACAAAGTTTTATAAGAATTAATATTATTGTTCTTGAAGCAATTTTAAATACAGACCTTTTTTTATAAAACAGTATAAATGTAATTTATAATCTGGGATCATAAAGGACTATACAGGATTTTTTTTATATTCTACAGTTTTATGTATAAAGCAAAAGTTATTATCGCGGGAATTCAGATATGTCATTGTCAAAATTAAATTTAATATCAAATAATTTGAATGTAATCCAGGATATAAGTTTTCAAACGATATAATTAATTTTACTATAGTTGGCGTAGGTAATATAATACAATTATAAATTTCGGTGTTCATACAAAAAGGACATAAAAGTAACAAAGTCAAGATTGTGTACGTAAAACAAGACGAACGATTTAACTGAAAAGTTTTACGTATTTAGGAACGCTTTCGGAGTTCAGATAAAGCACGGTTGTAACGCTACCTGCATAAAGGTATTGGATTATGGCTAACTCCGATGAGAGGTAAAATAAATTTCAACGCTTCTATATAATGTAAGCGTATAAAGCGTATAGTTCACGTATATTTGGGTCATGCGCGCAACAAGTGTAGTGCGGGGGTGAGGGGGTGTTTCATTGATCAGGTGGCGCCTGTTGCTCGAAGCGTCGCGACCCCCATACTAACATTCTCTGTTCCGATGAGTGTCATTTAAATGACGTATGGAAACCAAACGACCCATTTAAGTTTAATACGCAAATAAAGTTATGATTATATTTACATGATGAATTTTTGTTGATGAAATTTAATTTGTTACGATGCTTAAAATACTTTCTTGTTCAATGGAAGGATGAAAAGATGGATTTATTATGCAGGGTAAAGATGCAAAATACTTGCAATTATTTGAATCGTAAAAATTATGCTAGCTGTGCCGAAATAAATGCCAAGCATATTTTTCCTGAGATAGCTTATGCTTAACAAAAAGATGCTTACAATCTTCACTCTCCTTTTGTAACTTAAACAGCTTAAAATATTAAAATAATGAGGATCCTCTCTTAGTGAAAATATGTATTTTATATTTCTCTACTATTTAATCCTCTTTCTAATATGAGGCATTAAGGCAAGTGTTCCATATCGGGGCAACTAAGCCTTTTTAGCTGCAGGCTTTCAGATATACGGAAGTCAAGGAAAATGGTAGTAATATTTTATTTGAGACCTTTGTACGCGACAAGCATGTCATATTATATTGTAATGCTATTTTTAATTTACGAAAATAGTGTTTTACAAAATCTGAACTTTGTAATTACGTAAATAAAGTTGTGTTTTAATTGATACATTGATTGATTGATACTTATTTCTTTGTTAATTTCAAAGAAAATATGTACCTACATGGAACTCAGGGAATATATTTGGGAAAATATTATTGTAATTATAATTGAAAGAAAAATAAATGAATACTAGAAATTGTGTAACAGTTCCCTGTAATAAATCTTGGTTTCTTATAGTTGAGTCCTCTTGGTTTCAGTATTAAACCTTTTTTACGTATTATAAAAGTAAAGATTAGGAAAATTTTCAATTGCCAGTTAATATAAAATATAAATAAAAATATAAGATTCCGTTACTTGTTAAGTGAAATTGAAATAAATATTTCTTATATTTATTAAAATATTAAAGTTATGAATATTTTAATGTTAATTTAAATGCAATCTTAAAATTTATATAATAATGTTGTGTTTTCAATAAAAGTATTGTGTTGCCATATTAATAATCAAAATAAATACTTATAATTCATTTGTTTGAAATGAATTGG